ATCTTCATATAAAATAACAGGAAGAAAATAAAATAAATATTAATATTTTTGTCTTTTATCCCAAAGTTTGATATAATTTTACATTTATGTTTAGTTCATCAGATTAATAATATATAAATTGATTATTGGATCACATGGACGATGCATCCAACAAATTCACAACAATTAATAGTTAAAATTAAATTAATTTAAACTAACATTTTTTTCACAAAATAAATAGTATTAAATAAACTCTAACAAATTAAATTGGAAAATTAAATTTTAAAAATTCGTCGGGTTTCAATTAACCAGTTGAATTGACTTATAGACATTAATGTTATAAAATAATTTTCTAAGCTTTTGGCCGATTGACATGGGAAATAAATGTTCGATAGTTAAGTCCCTGTTCAAAGCCCTATGGGGGGCTGCTCTTTGACCTGCACCACATCCACTCATTGTACTTTGTTATAAATGAGCCACGACATAACCACTAGGCCCTGTTTGGCAGTGTCAGATATTTTTAATTACATCTCTTAATCTTATTCTTGCCCCCACTATGGCGATTAAGGGTATGTATTTTATTCATCATTGACCATTTTTTTTTTTAAAGTTATAATTAAATTTTAAAAATTAAATAATAGAGCGTTAATTTAAATAAAATGTTCAAAGTTATTTTCCGGTTAAGTCTTAAAGTTAAGATGTTAAGTGAGATTTATTAGTCGGTCGAACGATCAAAAGTACTTATATTATCTTATTTCGTGTGAATTTAAATTCTTATATATATCTTAGAAATATAATATTTTTCCGGTTAATAAGAAAAATAGAAGATATTAAGTACATTTCTGCATTAATTAAGATGAGAAAGAATCAATCCATGAATGAACCAAACCATGCTCAAGGTGCAATTTTGCCATCATGGGCACGAAAGTTCCCTCTAATCCGTGGGTAACTATAAACTATGGCTTTCTTTGACCTCTGGGTTTCTCATTTCTAAAATAAAATTCAAATCTTTTTTCCTTTTTCTCATCTTTTTTCTGAAATAATTGCAAAAGTGAAACAGGGTCAAACGTATTTTCTCGAGAAAATGTCAAATGGAGCAATTTCTCTTCCGTTGCATCCCTATAAATACCCAATTGCCTCCCATTGCTTCCTTCACCAAGCAAACGACAGTTCAAGCTTTACAAACAGAAAAAAAAACCTTTCCTATCTCATTCTCAGTTCATTGATTGATTTTTAGTGTTTTTTAGACATCAACAATGGTGCTTTCTAAGACAGCTTCTCAAACCGATGTCTCTGTTCATTCGACTTTTGCCTCTCGCTATGTCCGAAACTCACTTCCGAGGTAACCCCCTTGATCGATCTCCGGTTTTCGATCCATGTAAATGGGTGTGTTTTAATGGTGAAAATGATGTTTGCAGGTTCAAGATGCCGGAAGATTCGATACCGAAAGAAGCCGCGTATCAGATCATCAACGATGAATTGATGCTCGATGGTAACCCAAGGTTGAACCTTGCCTCTTTCGTCACCACCTGGATGGAGCCTGAATGCGATAAGCTGATCATGGATGCCGTCAACAAGAACTACGTCGACATGGACGAATACCCCGTCACCACCGAGCTTCAGGTAACGGCTTAACGGTGTCGGAACTCGAATGCTCCAATCTAATGGTGTCACTTGTGACTTGTGGAATGTAACATAATGTCATAATCCATGTACCTTTTCTTTATGCAGAACCGTTGTGTGAACATGATCGCACATTTGTTCAATGCGCCACTAGGGGACTCCGAGACCGCGGTCGGAGTGGGGACGGTCGGTTCATCGGAAGCAATCATGTTGGCCGGGCTTGCCTTCAAGAGAAAATGGCAAAACAAGCGTAAAGCCGAAGGGAAACCGTACGACAAGCCCAACATCGTGACCGGAGCCAATGTTCAAGTGTGCTGGGAGAAATTCGCTCGGTACTTCGAAGTCGAGTTGAAGGAAGTGAAGCTAAGGGAAGGTTACTATGTGATGGACCCTGCAAACGCTGTGGAAATGGTCGATGAAAACACCATTTGTGTTGCAGCAATCCTGGGATCAACCCTCAATGGAGAATTTGAAGATGTCAAGCTTTTAAATGATCTCTTGGTTGAGAAGAACAAGGAAACTGGGTAAATATAAAGAAAACTGTTCAGTTTATAAAATTTGATTGACTTGAAACGATGACAAGTACTGAATTTGATCTTTTATGATGCAGATGGGATACCCCAATTCATGTTGATGCTGCTAGTGGTGGATTCATTGCACCATTTTTGTACCCAGAGCTTGAATGGGACTTCAGGCTTCCACTTGTGAAGAGCATTAATGTGAGTGGCCATAAATATGGTCTTGTTTATGCTGGTATTGGTTGGGTTATCTGGAGAAGCAAGGAAGATTTGCCTGAAGAACTTATTTTCCATATCAATTACCTTGGAGCTGATCAACCCACTTTCACTCTCAATTTCTCCAAAGGTTCCAGCCAAGTCATTGCTCAGTATTACCAGCTAATCCGATTGGGTTGCGAGGTACGAACTCCGGAAATCATCGTAACGAAACCGATATCGACTTATCGTCCGTTGTCGTTCGACTTACGATTCGATGGTGTTTTCTTTACAGGGATACAGGAATGTGATGGAGAACTGTCATGAAAACGCCATGGTCCTAAAAAGAGGATTGGAGAAAACAGGGCGGTTCAACATCGTGTCGAAGGACGAAGGGGTCCCGTTGGTGGCGTTTTCTCTCAAGGACAACAAGCGTCACGACGAGTTCGAGATAGCCGAGATTCTGCGACGGTTCGGGTGGATCGTGCCGGCCTACACCATGCCGGCAGACGCGCAGCACATCACCGTGTTGCGCGTCGTCATAAGGGAAGACTTCTCCCGAACCTTGGCGGAGCGTCTCGTGATGGACATCGAGAAGGTGCTGCACGAACTCGATACGCTCCCTGCCAAGCAGGCTATGGCCGAGGAAGACCATGGCAAGAATGGCACTGCGAAGAAGACCGCCACTGAAACCCAGAGGGAAATCACTGCTTACTGGAAGAAATTCGTCAGCGAGAGGAAGACGAACAAGAACAAGATATGCTAGAAATTTATTCTAACACCGAGTTTTTTTATTTTTAATTTATCACCATGTTTCCACCTAGAAGATGAGCTATTGTCTTATTGAACCATTAATCCAAGTAATTATTTCATTTTGCGATTCTCGAAATATTTAGGATAATTTACATGTTTAATACTTAAATTAACAATTTTGATTCATTTTAGTATCTAAATTTTTAATTTTTTTAAAATCATATCTAATGTTTAGTTTTAATATCTTGCCGTTATAAACTTAACGAGAGATTTGCATCATTCATCATTAAACTATCTTTTCACTCCTATTTTGGTCACACAAATTTACTTTTTTAAAAAATTTAATTTTTAATTATATATTACTAAAATAATAAAAAATCACACAAAAATTATTAATGGAATAAAATAGAGTGATTAAAATATGAGCAATTTGAAAGTTGAGTAATTAAATCAAAAATTTTTAAATTTTAGTATCAAAATAAGAGAGAAGATAATTCAGTGATGAATGATATAATTTACGCATAAAAATAATGCAATTAAGTTTTTAATGACAATGTACTCAAATGAAATAAAAATTAAATGTTAGATAAAATTTTATGAAAATAAAAGATTTAAATATTAAAATTGACCAAAATTAATAATTTAAATACTAAACACATTATTTATAATCTATCTACATATTACTCAAAGAGAAAAAGAAAAGTACAGACCAAGTGGCCTATGTGGTGAATGAATTATTGTTATTCTTTGAAGATCCAAGTTCGAGCACCATGAATGTCAAAGATATAAACGTTTAATGTTAAAAAATTAAAAGTCGTAATTATGTTAGATTAATGAGAATAAAGCGGAGAGAATGTGCAAGGGCAAGACTATATGGAAAAGTTGCCCATAGGAGAAATGGTTGGTAACCATTTGAGAAGGAATGGAAAAAGAAAAGAAAAGAAAAGAAAGGAAAGGAAAAAGCTGAAATTTGAATTATGTCTACCCATGTTTTCTTTTGTCCTCTTTTCCCCAAATTTTCATTTTTATTTGGGTAAAGTATACCAAGGTCATCAAACTATACCAACATGGTTTTGTTGATCAATGGATTTTAAATATTATAAAATGATCATTAAAAATTATCAAATCGTTACAAAATGGTTGTTTAAATAATTATTGAAATATTAAAAAAGTATACTTAAATTTGTTAAAATTTAAGGTAAATTACACAAATGGTCTCCTGACTATAGGATACTACTTTATTAAGTCCCCTGACTATTCAAAATTATAAAATGACACTCTGACTATAGAATGTTGCTTTGTTGAGTCCATCGAATATTAAAAGTTACAAAATGGTTACCCAACTATTCATTATGTTGAAAACTCGCCATTTTTCATTAAAAAAAATTATTGATCGTCTAAATTGAATGTTAACATGATGACTAAGATATTATAGTCGTTTGAGATTTTGTAACTTTTAATAGTCGAATGACTCAACAAAGCAACACTCTATAGTCGAAAGACCATTATGCAACTTTTAATAGTCAGTAGGCATGATAAAACAATACCCTATAGTTGAAGGACCATTTGTGTATTTTACCCTAAATTTTATAACTATTTATAATATCATAGGGACCATATTATAACAATTCAGTAAATTTAATTAATGTTTTGTAACATTTAAAGAATTATCAACCAAAAAATCAATTTAACATAGGTGAGGGACCTTTGACGTGCTTTACTCCTTTATTTTTCAATATTGAAACAATCCCTTCGCTTTTACACGAAAAACAACACCATATATGATATCATAACTTTTGCAATTATTTAGCCCCCCATATACCAAACCCCACATTTATGATTAAAATTCCAATCCCCACCAATTTGCAGAAACCCAAAAATCAATTAAAAATTATATTTTAAAAAAAAGTTCATATCCCAAGAAGCACACACTTTTGGTGCCCCTCTCTCCATTGCCGTTGACTGATCATGTAAGTAATTTGCATCCTTTTTCTTTTTCTCTTTAGAACAACCCAATCAAACCATTACAAATTTACAATAACATGGAACCATTGTTGTGTGTGCTTCAAGTGTTCATTTAGCTATTTAAGACAGAACCAAACCGAACCGTCGTCCCCAACATACATGAATGAGTGAGTTTCAGGTCATAAACTCTATGGCTTAGTACGATACCCTAGGTCGGGATCTTCAAAACCTTGGAGTTCTCAACGCAGACATGTCTTTAGGTGCAAAAGCAACGTCTTTTACTTTCTCTTTTCTTGTCTCTTTTTCACTGTTTGTTTTTGCTTTAAGGTTTTTTTAAATGGAGTTTATCTCCCTGCGTGTGAATGCAGTGATGGATGGAACTGGAACCGGAACTTCAATTTCGCCATGGTTTCCACATGCAGATTTCTCTTCTGGGTATCTTGAAGATGCTTTGCTGGAATTCACGGAACGATCGAAACGAAGACGAGTGTCGCTGTATAATGATGATCGTTATGATGATAATCATGATCAAATCAGTGGTTTCAATGATCTTGCAATGGTGGTTTTTTTGTTTTTGGAAATATTTTAGTTTCTTGTTCTCTTTTAGTACGCTGAGTTAAATTTTTACTGTTGTTAAGCAGCAAGGATACTGGAATTATGGCTGCAACTGGGGCCTCTCTGAGGATTTCACCTGCATGAGCCAGTTAACAACGGGCATTAATGGTGTTTCAGGTAATGATTATGAGAATTTTCACCATGCAAACCAATCCAATCATTTACAATTTTTTCCAACATGGAACCTTTTGTTTTTTTTAAAGATGAACCAATGAGCACATCGATAAAAACACCAGAGGAGACAATATCAGACAACCCCGAAGAAGCTTTTGATTCATCGTCTTCCTCGTGCAAACTCTCAACAGAGAAAACCAAGACATTTTCTTCTGGTAAATCACAAAGGAAACCCTTAAAATTTTTGCTGCTGCTGCTGTTGATTTAACAGTTTGCTGATTGTTTGATGTTTTTAAGGAAGTGGTGATAAGACTAAGAAGAAGAGGGTGATAACGAGGGTTGTTTATCCATTCGCATTGGTTAAACCCGGCGGCATCGACGGTGACACGACGTTAAACGACATCAACGAGAGGATTCTAATGCCGCCGACGAGACCGGTGAGGCACCCTGTCGGAGACTTCGCTTGTCGGCCATGCGTATCGGCCGATGGTCCCGGCCTTTCCGGTAAAGCTGTTGTGGCCCTCACCAAAATACACACTCAAGGGAGAGGCACCATCACTATTATTCGGACCAAAGGTTAAGGAAAACACAATTTGAACTCTTTGTTGTTGCTTGCCTTCGACTGAAAAAAAAATTGTATAGGAGGAAACACATGGGGTTTATGAATCATGCATGAATGTAAAATATTAAATATCATATTATCTTCCACTTTTTTACACATTTAATCGATTTTCATGCTTAAATTTGTTTCTTTCTATATAGCAATTAACCGTATTAACCGAATTAAGACACGATTTGCTTCATGTACTTTTGTGAGACAATGATATGTTATGGTTTGAATCAAATGGAACGTGAAGAAGAAGCAAGAACAAAGAAAAAATAGGGTAAAAAGAGGGAAAAGAAAAAGGAAAAGCTAAGGGATTATTGGTTTTCTCCAAATTTTGCTTAGACAAAGACACCAAACCAAAGGGGAACCAAAAGCCAATTCTAGCTTTTGCCCCTTTGGTGTATGAAATGATCATATCATGAAACTTCACCATGTACCAAATTTACCGATAAAATTATGAATATTCAGACAGTAGAATCGATCATATAATATCAATTAATATTTACTACTTGAAACAATATCTTGGGATACGAGTAGGAATCCATTGTTGTCGTTGCCAATAAACAATAAGGACTGCTAAATACAAAGAGGAAGATGAGTATCTTATATCATGAATATGCTCCAAACATTAGTGTGATATGTGCCACTGAATATGTTTATTAGTGCTCTTAGCTCAAAATTTTCAATATCTACAAAATGGCTTGGGATTTGTCTTGTTGTTGCTAGGTCAATACCCTATAGTCAATACCCACCCATTTTCTACCTCACTTACCTGCAGACAATAATAATAAAACTTGGGATTGGGACCCCAATATGTATCCACCTTATCTTTGTTCTCACCTGCACTTTGAATCACCACCGTTCATTTCCTTTGCCTTCTCAATGGTGGGGGATTATCATGCAAATCCAACGGTTCTAATGAGAATGAGGGAAAGTACATATCTCACACCTATAGGTAGGGATGGGCATGGGACCCCGACCCTATCTGATCAAACCTTTTAAAGATAATTTTGGGTTCGAATATGTTTGGGTATGGTATTTTAGATGTTATGTTCGGGTCAGTTGAGTTTAGGTTTAGATTGAAAAATATACAATCCGACCTGATTTGGGAAAAATTATAATTTTACCTTATATTTAGGGATAATTATAATAAGACCCCTCTATATGAGTCGAATTCAAGTAGCATGCATAATTTTCAGATCAGATTTGAGTCGAGTAAAGGACGTATAAGTTTTAAATTAGATAAGTTGACTGAAAATCTGACCCAATTCTCGTAGGTGTAGGGCAAAAGAGGTGGAATGATGGAGATATAGGGTTTGTGTTTGTCTCTTTAAAACATAAACACATTGGTTAGGTGAAGAAGATTTTGACCTTCTTAGATTATGTCCACCTATCCTCTTTACAATATCATATCAGATAGGCCCCATTAAGATTTTTCGTAATTATTTTACTGATTTGAATTTTAAACTTAATTCACAACGGCCATTAATTTATAAATAACAAAATAATGTATGAACCACACACAAATAATTTAATATATCTTATTTTTTTAAATTGTTATTTTTTTAATTAATTACTGATATATGATCTATTGACCGATTAATCCAGATCAGATACTGCAGAGGCGAGGGCGACCCTCCCAACCCAATTTGTTTAATTCACAAACGCCAGGATTCGAACCCCTAACATTGCTTAAGAGACCTAATATCGCATCCCACTAGATTAACTGATTGTTAGTTTTTAATTGTTATTATTGTTTCTATGAGAAAAGTGCAAATTATAAAAGAAAATCCTAGGTAGACGTGAGTAGGGATGACAATTTCACTCCATATGATGATTTAGATATGATTCGATCGGGTCGGATTTAAAAAAAAATGGGATTTGGGTTGAGTCGAGTCAGATTTTTAAAGGATGAAGTCGGGGCGTATTGGGTTCGGATGGAGGGTGAAAAACTCCGACCCGACTCGACTTGAGAATAATAATATATTTTCTTTAAAAAATTATTATTATTTTAATTAAATCCTTAATTTATACAGGGTTGACTCCGATTTATACTCTAAAAAATTAAGTCGAATCGGAGTCGGGTGAATAATATATATTTTTCGGATCGGATCAAATCATTATAAGATATAAAATTTTCGGATCAAGTCGACCGAGTTCTGATGGAGGATGCATATCTTCGGATCAGATTTGGATGGACTAAAAACTCAACCCTAACTAACATTTACCATCCCTAGACGTGAGAGTATATATATTGCTTTTCTGCCTTCTTTTTCCTTTTCCAAATCCCAAATTGCGATAATTCCATTACGAGTTTGTTTTCTAAAGTAATTTTTTAAAAGTTATTATTCGATATATTATTAATAATAAAAAATATAAATAATGTTTATATGATATTAAGTATTTATTCCCAAACTATGGTCCTCATTTTAAATTGGCCCTTCAACTTTCAAACATTTTAATTTCTTCCCTAAATTACGATTCTCATTTTAAATTGCTCATTAAACTTTCAAACATTTTAATTTCATCCCTAAATTATGATTATCATTCTAAATTAGTCCTTAAACTTTCAAAAAATTTAATTTCATTCAAAAATTGCAATTTTCATTCTAAATTAGTCCTTAAACTTTTGAATCTTCCAATTTCATCCCCAAATTCATCCAAATATGTAATCAATTTCAACCATAGTTTAACTTATTTTTTTCTCAAAAATATAATGATATAACTTGGTCGATGATTTTTATTAACAAAAGATGCAATTAGTATATACATATAATGCGGGATGAAATTGAAATGTTTGAAAAGTTTAGGGACCAATTTAGATTGAAGAACATATTTTAGGGATAAAATGAAATGTTCAAAAGTTCAAGGACTAATTTAGAATGATAGTCATAGTTTCATAATGGAATTGGAATATTTAAAAGTTTAAGGACTGATTTAGAATAAGATCATAATTGAAGGACATATGATGCAGTTAACTCTTTAAATTTTGATGGTAAAATTATTTTTTCATTATCATGCATGCGCTTTAGCTGTAAATGTATAGTTTACACACATTATTAACAAATAAAAAGGTTTTGTTTATGTAGTTTCAAGTAATGATACACATTTTATGATATTAATATTATAATAAATTAGTGTTGTGTGTGTAAATACATAATTTTAGGGTAAATTATGCAGTTAGTACCTAAACTATTAGTTTTGGCCCCTTTTTTGTACATAAGCTTTTATTTTTTCAAAACCATACCTAACGTTTAGTTTTCATTTCATTTTAGTACCCCATCATTAAAAACTTAACTCATTTAGTACCTAAACTATCAGTATTGGTCCGTTTTAGTACCCAAACTTTCATTTTTTTTCAAAACTTAACGTTGAATTTTGAACGTGAATACTAAAACGAAACAAAAAACTAAATTTTTTAATGAATGATACTAAAACGAAACAAAAACTATATGTATGATTTTAAAAAAATTAAGAGTTTAGGTACTAAAACGGATCAAAACTAATAGTTTAACCCCTAAACGAGTAATTTACCCATAATTTTATGATAAAATCAATGTATAATAAAATCATTGATATTATTCTTATGATATTAATATCATAGCCATCGAGTAATTAATGCAACTAATCAGAAAAATACCATTGGTAAAGAGGGAGAGTAACATATAGTTCACACCACGGGACTCAATCATCAACGTTAGATATGCGACCTCAGTTAAGTTAGATTAGTTAAGGCAAAACCTTAGAACCGGAGTCCAACAAAAAAACTTCTATCAAACAAGCCCAACCAAAGTAAAGGTGGAGAGTAACATGCAATACATTAGCCCAACAAAAGTTAAGGCAGAGTAAGAGTAACAAACATTCATATTATTAGGGTTGTAAATGAGACAAGACAAACCGTAAGTTATTTAAGTGTTGATCGTTTAAAATTTGATTAATACTTGATTTAAATAGAGTCAATTACTTGATGCTCTACTCAAAAACTCGAGTCGTTCTTGCGAGGCAGTAGCACTATGATTTGCTTCACCTTTTTTGTACAAAATTTAGTTACATTTATCTGTCAAATCTCTAAAGTGGTAGGATGCGTATGTGTTGTTACTGTCATGAACCGTGTGATTTGCTGTACCTTTGCCTCATCAGACCTTTAAAATGGATAGTTTTCAGGTTCCACTTCTAAGTTTCTTAGGGATGGCGACCGGATGGAATGAGACGAGTCTTTAGTCGTTTGATTAACAATTTCGATTCAATTTTAGTTTGTTTTGCTTTCGACGTACTTAAAAGCATATGATACGTTTTTGAAAAAAATATCCGAAGTAATTATAAGATAATATATATTCGAATTTTTTTTAATTATTTAACAATAAACGTTCATATCTCTATAAATATCATGTTCGAACTATGTACCTCAAAAAACAATAACAAAGTAGTATATGTTCTAAATACTCTCAACCATTTGACAATGAACTATCAGTCACTCTGTTGCCCCTGTTGATGCTCGAACCTCTGACCTCTAGAAACAACAACGATTAATTTTAACCACTAAAATACGTTGGCTCGTGCAAATATCTAACTTTTCTTAAAGTATTGAAAATATCGTTTAATGTATCTAATAATGGTAAGCATAGAAATTATATATTTTCTTTTTTTATATTTTTTAAAAAATATATAAATTTTCATAAATATTTTAAAAGTAAGATTTTTATTTTTTATTTTTAAAACTATTATTTAAACGGATAACATATACAAATGGTCTTCGGCTATAGGGTATTATTTTTTCAAGTCCCACAACTATTAAAAGTTATATAATGGTCCTCCGACTACAGAGTGTTGTTTTGTTGAGTCCACCAACTATTAAAAGTTACAAAATGATCATCAACTTGATCCAAACTCATTCTTTTCTATTAAAAAGTAGACAATATTCTGAGCTGAACGTTAACATGCCGCTTGTGATATGATAAAACCTGACCCCTAAATCTCAAAGGACTATCATACCCCAATCATCATGTTAACGTACAACTTAAACAACCACCAATTTTATAATGAAAAAGGACGAGTTTAGAAT